CCCCAAAACCCCAAAACCCCAAAACCCCTTAATGCATAGAATATTCATAAATACATATATCAAAGTTCGAATAATAAACAAAGCAAAGATGAAAGTGTTTATATATTTTAAAAATGAGTGATTAATTTATAATAAATCAGCAGCAGCACTAGCGTAATGGCTTAAATCATAACTAGCAACCCTCCTCAACATCTAGGTTTGAGCGTCAGCCACTTTAGTTGCCGATTTCTGGAGGCCGCTAGGATTTAACCTAGCAAATAAGGACTGACCTTGGAATGATTAATTAGTATGTGAGGAGGACTTAGAATAGCAGTCAGAGTCACAACTCTCGGAGATCACTCTTCAACGATACCTTAAGAAATCAATACTGGCAATATGTACCAAATAACAATGCTAATCGATTCATCACTTCATTCCGCTCTAACCTTTCTGCCTCTCTTAACGGCATCAATCATCAACTATCATCTCAAGAGAACGGACCTATTCGCAATATGCACTAGCTTACAAGAAATAGCATGAGTGTACACAATTAGGATTTCATAGCAGTAGTAGAAGATGATTAAGAGATTTAGCTATAGTAGATGCTCAATAAAAAATTCAAAAGATTAACGCATTGGGACTTAGTCGCTCTCACTCTTAGCTACTTTCTGTACGCCGTTATATTCTTAATCGCATTAATGTGCTCTATGAGACAGATTGTGATCACAGAGCAAAAGTATTTTTGGAGTATCGTTTTTGGATTAGCAGCTGTAGACCAAATTATCTATGAGTTTGTAATTCTATTTTATCATTATCATTTACTATAGGTATACATATATCAACTAAGGCAGATACCGAATCTTAATTTAGAAGACTAAGGTGAATTAAAAAGACTAATAGTAGACACAGCACTCTACTACACCTTCCTGGTAAATTAACAATAAATGGTGATGTAACATATAACCGCTTTTAGATGGGAGTTATAATATAAATCTGGATCACTGATGTTATTCCTAAAAAGATTGTCATCTGCAGTCCTCTCCTACTCGCGCTCATAATCAGACCGTTCCTCAAAAGAAATAATTGCTGCATGATGTTTAGAAACTACTCATACTGTGTAAGTAAACTGCATCCATGGATTTCATTAGAATATAAATTGCCCCATTAATTACCTATAATTAGCTTGATCGCCAGTAATAATCATATAATGTAGTTTTGGTATATCATTAAGATCACGATCACAATAATAATATTTGACATTATTATGAAACTAGATGGAATGATTGACTGGTAATGGGTCTCTGTACTGTGGCCTATATTTATTCTCCTCTCAATACTATTTATAGCAAGTCTGACTAGTCTATTCCTATTTTTAGCTTGGCTATGTGCTTGGCTTACTGGTAATTCTTAAAAATTGAGGAAATACTAAGAATCTGATTCATCCATTTAATGTAAGATTGTTCAATAGCTCATCTATAGTTTCCATATCATTTTGGTTGCTAGCTAAGAACAATGGTTAGTTCATCATGATTATCCAATTATTCGTATCGTTTATCTAAACACCAGATATCTTAAGTACTATTCAATTCATCACCAATTTTAGACATGAACTCAAATCCTATTATGATCGGATTAAGCTACTATGCTATCATGTTTTTATTGACAGTTATCTTTTTCAAACCCCTTACTGGTTGGCTAAAGAACTTCAAGTAAAATCTCCACTCAGTGAGATTAGACTCATCTTTGAACTCAGACTTAGACAATATTAATGCTGATGAGGAATAGACTAACAATAGATAATTGCATGGTTAATACTTAAACTCCAACTAAATTAGAGATTAGAGGCAAAACCAATAAGAACTTTTGAAAAATCGAAGTTAGTAGTTCAAGAACAACATGCAAAAAGAGCTAGAGAGACTAAAGATTAGAAGTGCTATAATGACTGCCTATGACAATCGCAAGCCTCCAAATATCCCCAAATTTATTGTAAATTCCATTGCCGATAATGAAAAAGTTTATAGTATAGAGTGTCAAATACATATTATATGAAGATTGGGAATTTCGCTCATGAGTTTCTTAATGAGATAAGCAATAAATTGACCTTTAAGAAAACCAACTAAGGTATTTAGCAGACTCAGTTAGTACTTCCACCAGTACTGACTATCCATAAGTAGGATGGACGTAATCATTCAACCAATAATTAGCTGAGTAAGAGAAGAATGAAGTACTTAGACTCATTCTAATTCATGGATGAAGAGTTAAGCATTCCAGAGGAAAAACCTACTTTTGACAAGCAAAATTCTTTCTATTGTATATTTAATCATAACCTGATTTATTTAGAAACCAATAATATGGATTCATCAATGCATTAACTGATGAACAATAAAAGGCAGTTGGTGGGTGATGATCCCATTTGCTCCCTTGATAGACTAAAATCAGAGTGGACCTCTCGAGAAGTCTAAAACCATAGGCCTTGGTAGACAACTATAAACGATCACTAGAACTTTTCATCAGATAATTAAACTGAGATCTCCAATAAGAAGTAAAACTATCTCGAAGAACTAGAGAAATGGCAATCACTTCAAGAGAAGCAGTACTTTTCAAATGCAAAGTACAGATAGACTGCCTCAGATAGAGACAAAGACTCAGCACGGCTTCCTAAAAGTGTAAAGAGCTTGAAAGACTTTAAGGACTATCTTATGAAATAAAAAAAGCAGAATGTCTAAAAAGATCAGTAATAGATCCAATAAATTAAAAAAGAGCATAATAAAATACTTAATAAGTAGGAACAAAACTACCCATAATGTGACATCTGTTGCTAAGACAAGGCTGATGCTGCCTTTATGCCCTGTGGACATGGAGGTCTATGCTTCCTTTGTGCCTTCACTCTAACTAAAACTAATCGAAACTGCCATCTGTGTCGCGACAAAGTCAATAAAATATATCAACTAAAACTCTCCAAATAGAACAGCCAGGTTAAGTGCTAATATACCCGAGTTAGAGCTGCTATTGAATTTCAAGACTCTGTCTAGAATGCGATAGCTGGCATTTCTGGGATTAATAATAATCAGTAGGTGCCAGTATGTGTCTACTATAAAGTTGACTTGAAAAAGTTGGATGACTTGTCAGGTAAAGACCAGTAAATTTAGCCCTATGAAAAATACAGTGAGTTGACTATCTGTGATGAATTCCAAAGTTAAAAGATCGTCCAAGTTGATCAAAATATACATTTGGAGTTTCATAATGCTGACTCAACTGCCTAGAACACGCAAGCAGTTATTGAATCACAGAAACAGACTGAGAGAGGACTTATCAATAATCAAATTAATTTGAGTTTCAATCAGACCTAAAAGATTGGAGAGAAGATACAGGGTCTGATTGATAACTTGGAAAAGTCAGAAAATAAGAAGGGAATAAACACTTCCAGAGCTAAGAAAGATAAAGATCATGCAGAGAAGAACGTGCTGCACAGGAATAAAGGCTAGAAGCTGAATGCTCTATTCAAAGACTAGTAGAATAACAGTCCTAAGTTCTTCAGAGACCATAGTCCCAGCAGTAATTATAAGATAAATAAGAATGATCTCTATAAGGATTTCATCTGATAGCTGAAAATAGTTATTCCACTAAAGACTATTTAATCAAGGGATCTGTTTATAGATAATAATTATTTGTTAGTTTCATTTCGATGTTATAATTATATTTTAAAGATTAATTTCAACAATTTAAAATTTATAATTTAATAAATTTGAGGGGTTTTGGGGTTTTGGGG